AGGATTACAAATGGAGAGACAATTATTAAAATATTAATACACAAAGTGAGTAATTGGAATCACTTTCTTAAGGACTTGTGAAACAAAGATTTAATTGTTGTTGCAAAAAAAAAATCTGTATGAAGTAGAAACTGGTTTCAATAACATTAGTAGAGAATATGTTCTAGAAAGTGGAGGTAAGTGGATGTAAAATTCTGGCAGCAGTATAACAGAACAGTCCCAGATGGTTAGGATGAGGTCAACACCCAATGAGGATGAAAGCCTTGTCTGGGGAATTTTGAAAGATACCTGCAGAAATATTACACAGGGCATAAATCAAATTGAACTGTTTCCACAAGTGTTGTGACGTTTCTATATATAGTGAAAGTTTTTTTTCTGCATGCACTCTAATTTCACAGCAAGGGTGGCATAGAATACCTAAACACAGAAAAGAGCATTCATGCAAGATATCTAACTCCTTGATATAACAATGGATACACTTCAAAATGATTACACTATTATTACATCTAGGGCTTTTTGCAAGTACAAGGTGGTAGTTAGGGAAAGCATGACCCCCAGTCCCCACATCTATACAGCAGCCACCACCTTCTATGTGTTCTCTTTTTGCATTTTTGTTTTGTTTTCATTTTCCTTAATCAACTCTGCTGTTGTTGCTGCTGCTTGGCAAAACTGGTAAAAACGAAATTGTAATCATTGAAAATAGCACTTTGGCAATCAAGACGTTTAACACCTTCAATCTTCTGGGGTGAAGAAAGCACTGTGTGACATTCAGAACTCTGACGAACAAACAAGATAGTCACAAATTTTCCTGGCTTGAAGATTCCCACAACTTTCCTGATCAGGCCATCCGAAGAGATCTGACTTAAGTTTGTTTCAAAACTAACGTAAGGAAATTCTGGTTCTGACATGATGTGAATAGTCCAGTAAGTTCCAACTGATTTCATTCCACTCACTGAATACGCACAAGGATTGAACAGTGTGGCATCAATGACAGAACTTGGTATCAGGTCACAAATTCCACTCTCTCGAATGATGTCCTTCCCAGGAACACCATCTGTCATGTAGAACTGGTCCATAACTGCTGGGTCGAGCTCACTCATCAAAATTTCCAGGGTTTGATGAGGCTGACCTTACTCTCTGGGAAAAGCAGAGTATACAAGTACCCACAGTCAGACTTCATACATCCCCTATAATATGCTGCTCCACTTGGGAAAATTGCATTAAGAAATTCTGTTTCTTCCTGGAAATTCCAGCATGGGTATCCTTGATAAGGCTTCATGAGATTCTTACAAGAATCAAAGAAGCTTTGAATTGAGTCAAACCCACTGGAATCCCTGGCAAGCTTCAACAGCAGAACCGGTACTTTCAGCAGGAGGATGGTACCACGGGTCTTCAGAATGAAATGCCTCTTGGAGACAAACATGCTATTCTCACTGAATTCATAAGCTTTCTGCTTGGCAGCTTTGTAATTGAACATGTCACATGCTTCAAAAGTCCATCCCACTCAGATCTTGGGATAGCACAAAGACCCCAGACCCTTGGTTTGCATCAGATTGTAGCCAGGAGACACCAAACCTCCAACAGATTCTTGGTCCCTTCAAAAAAAAAAAATGTGCAACTTCCATCACTGTGAGATGTGACTAACCAACAACTGCAGAAAATCAACTAAATTAAATATCTTCTCCGGCCTCTGCCGCCGCCACCGTGGATTGTTCCAGCTGTTACTAAAGTTCATGTTCCTCTTTTTTTTTTTTTTTTGCTATAATTTTATATTGAATTTTTTTTAAAAAAGGATTCATAAAATTTTCTCAGCTTTGTATGTGTGTGTGAGCGAGAGTTGTGCGTGAGTCTGTTGGAAATAGAGGCTGATACAGTTGAATCTCTTGTAGTTCACTGCTTTCCCATGATAGAGTAGAGCGAGTGCTAGCTGATGTCGCAGGCCATACTGTGCAAGCCATGTTGAAGCTCTATAGCATGATGTTTCCAAGGACAACAATACAGGGCTTTTCAAAAAGACATATTCCAGGTTATATAAAAGGATTCTTTCTGGGCATTTTGAGATTACAGGATGAAAGTTTCTACAAAAGAAATAAGACAGACTCAAGTGTTATTGCTAGGAAACATGGAGACTTTTTCCTGTAACCTCTTGGAATCATTAACCTCCATTCCATTTAGATAGCTATTAGTCATAGTTCACGGTTAAATGATCAGTGGATGAATGTTTTCCTAGAGAGTTTTTGTGCTTTGTCATAAGCACAGTGAGTCGTTTTTTGCTGCAACATCAAAAGTTCACTCAAATGTAAAAAGGGACAGAAATCAGTCAAGGTCAAATACTTTCGATCTGAGCCGCACATGATACTATAACCAAATTCTAATCATCCGGGAAAGCAGATTACAGCAGGTTAAGTAGCTTGTCCAGACCAGAAATTTACCAGGTTATCTACATTGGGAGTGGCTTTGGGTTCTCAAATATTTCTTCCAGAGCACTCACTGAACACTAGAAATCGTTCTTCATACTGGTGTGGCCATAATGACAATCACCATAAACAGCTGCTGATCTCTCCTACAGCTAGATATATAAATGCAGACGTGAAATAAACAAGGATTTGTCCTATTCCATCAGGCTTCCATTAGGAAGAACATTTTCCATTGCATCAAAACATACGTAACGTCTCGCTGACTACCACTTTTTTTTTAAAAATCAGGTAATAACTGTTTCTTTATCAAGGAAGAGCTAGGAATGCCCCTTCCTTCTCAGTTGACCTTCAACACAGGGTAATAGTGTCCCAGCCGGGCTACACAGGTGGCAGCTAAAACACGTTTATGGGAAGGATGGTCTCCAGTATCAACATCTATGAAGCAGCCACCACCTTTTATGTGTGCTCTGTTTTTGCATTTTTTTCTGCATTTTCTTTAATCAACTCTGCGTTTGTTGCTGCTTCTTGGCAAAACCAGTTAAAACAAAGTTGTAATCATTGAACAGGAATAAGGAAATTGCCCCGGAATCAGGAAACCCAACTTCAGAGGTGCCGTTTCTTCCCTATCAAGAACTTCAGAACCTTTATTTATTGCAAAATTTCACTATCAGGTACAACTAATCCTTTCCTGGGAGACTTCAGATATAGTTTTTCCTTCCAGGGGCCAGAAGAGTAGACATTTTCTTTTATCTCAATGTTTGTCAATTTAAATTGCTGACTCAGTCTCACTGAGAAACTGAGAGAATAGGTGCAGGGCTTAAAATGGATCACGGCAGAACTTGGTCTTTTCACACACAAAGTAAGGCTGACATTTCCTGGCTCCACCAAACTTTCGGCTCAGATTGCCCCCAAAGAAATGGTAAGTTTGATAGTGACACGAAGATCCTCAATCCCGTATCTCTCCAAACTCTGCCCGCCCCCACATCACAATATGAAATGCCTGACACTGTGCCCCTTTCTTGTTCAACACTGTGTCCCCATTGGTACATAGGAAGAGC